AGGTGGCACCATGCAGCAGGAGGGGGAGAAGAGCCGGGCCCGGCCCAGGAAGCCCGACATGGCCCTCTACGTGCCCAAAGCACGACGGGAGATGGCAGCCCAAGGAGTGGGCGCGGCCAGTGCTGCGTGGGCGATGGGGAGCCGGAGGGAGGAGGAAAACCGCCGCGTGCTGCAGAAGGAGGGTGCCAAAGGCCGCTGCGAGAGGCAGAGCCCCAGCGCTGGAGCCTGCGAGCACGTGGCCAGAGAGGGGAGAAGGTCAGAGGGGAAAACAAGGAAGCGCAACAGCAAACGGGGCAGCGCTCCAGGGCAGCCCGAAGGAGCCTCTGCCCAGGGCTGGGATCAGCGCGTCACACTCCACCAAAACCATCTGGCCCCAGAGGAGCAGCCGTGTGGGCGGCTGGAAACAAACCTCCACAGTGATCAGCCCAGCCCTCAGGAGTCCCGCCTGGGTCAGGCTCCTGCTCGGCCAGGGGGTAGTGAGGAGCAGGTGTCCAGCAAGCCAGGGCTCAGGGAGCTAAGCCCCAGGTGCTGGGATTCAAGGACAGGTCCTGGAACTTGTTCCCATCTGTCGGAGGAAACATCTAGTCCCCTGCTTGTGCCACCATGGGGAGGGGAAGAGCACGCACAGGAGCAGAGGCGTGGGGGCCCACTGGCCCGGCTAGGCACTTCCTCTCAACCTAGGAATGAGAGCAGTGATGAAACATCAGAGCAGGCAGGGGGGAGCACAGGTAGCGCATCCGAATGTGCAGGCAAGAGCATTCCAGCTTTGAGCAGGGAGAGCGCAGGAAGCGCGTGTGAGCTCAGAGGGGAGAGTGCCACAGATCCGAGCAGGGAGAGCGCAGGAAGCGTGTGTGAGCTCAGAGGGGAGGGGGCCACAGATCCAAGCGGGGAGAGCACAGGAACCGTGTGCGAGCTCAGAGGGGAGAGTGCCACAGATCCGAGCGGGGAGAGCACAGGAACCGTGTGCGAGCTCAGAGGGGAGGGTGCCGCAGATCCGAGCGGGGAGAGCACAGGAACCGTGTGTGAGCTCAGAGGGGAGGGTGCCGCAGATCCGAGCGGGGAGAGCACAGGAACCGTGTGCGAGCTCAGAGGGGAGAGTGCCACAGATCCGAGAGGGGAGAGAGCAGGAAGCGCGTGCAAGCTTCAAGAGGAGGGTGCTGCAGATCAGCCATGTGAGGGGGCAGCTCCAAGCAGGGAGAGCGCGGGAAGCGCGTGCCAGCTCAGAGGGGAGGGCGCCGCAGATCCGAGCCGGGAGAGCGCAGGAGGCGCATGCGAGCTCAGAGGGGAGGGTGCCGCAGATCCGAGCGGGGAGAGCGCAGGAAGCACGTGCCAGCTCAGAGGGGAAGGCGCCGCAGATCCGAGCGGGGAGAGCGCAGGAAGCACGTGCCAGCTCAGAGGGGAAGGCGCCGCAGATCCGAGC